CGCCGCCGCCTCCGTGGCCGCCATGGCTCCCGCACGGCCGCCAGGCCCCTCTCGCTAGGCCCGCCCCCGCCGCAGCCACTTCCGGCAGGGGGCGGGGCCTCCGGGCTCATTAGCATCCGGCCGGGCAGCCGCCGCAGCACCCCCTGCCGCCGGGCGAGCGCGTCTGGGATGTATAGCCGCCCCGGGAGGCTGCCGCGGCCCCGGAGGCCAGGCTTCCCGAGCGGTGAAGGGGCTGGCTGTGCCCACCCCTCATTTTTTGCCTACATAGCTTTAAGTTTTAAAGATCTTTTAAAAAAATATTTTATTTGTTATTTCTATTTTGTGTATGAGTGTATTGCCTGCGTGCATATATGTGCATCCGTGTCGTGCAGTGCCTGCAGAGGTCAGAAGAGGGCATCGGATCTCCTGGAAATGGAGTTAGGGATGGTTTTTAGCTACCAAGTGGGTGCTGGGATTCAAACTCATGTCCTCTGCAAGAGCAGTCAGTGCTCTTAACTGATGAATCATCTCTCCAGATACGTTAGGTGTTAAAGAACTTTAAAAGCATTTTCATATGCGTGTGCATGCGTGTGGGTACATGTGGAGGCCAGAGGACAACTTGTGAGAGCCAGTTTTCTCCTAGTATGTGGGTCCTGGGGCTAGAACTCAGGTCATGAGGCATCATGCAAGAGCATTTCACCAGCCCCTTGGCTTTAACTCTTAAAGATTGCTCAATGTCAGGAGAGGTAACAGCACAAATTTCCTCTATCTGTCATTGAGGGCTTACTTTACATAAAGGTAACTGGTATGCACTGGCATCTCCCTTGTGCAGAAAAAGGAAATTCCGACTTAGAGAAAGTAACTTGCCCTAGGGTCATGCTGTGGAAGAGTTGCTGAAATAGCCATGGTTAATCCTTTTAGGAAGTTCATATTGTTTTTCTTTTTATTATTATTGTATTTTAAGTGCCTGCATGAATTTAAGTGCACCCATGTCTACAGTGCTTAAGGAGGCCAGAAGAGGATGTCTGTCAGATCATCTAGAACTGGAGTTAATGTTGGCTGTTAGCCACCACGTGGGTGTTAGAAACTAAACCTACATCTTCTGGCAGAGCAGTAAGTACTAAGTACTCTAACCACTGAGCCATCTCTCCAGACTGCATATTGTATGTGTGTGTGTGTGCGTGAGTGTGTGCGTTAGAAACTAAACCTACATCTTCTGGCAGAGCAGTAAGTACTAAGTACTCTTAACCACTGAGCCATCTCTCCAGACTGCATATTGTGTGTGTGTGTGTGTGTGTGTGTGTGTGTGTGTGTGATTTGTGTTTTGGTCTTTTTGAGGCAGGGTCTCCCTGTAGCCCCAGCTGTCCTGGAACTCACTATGTAGACCAGGCTGGCCTTTAACTCACAGAGATCTGCCTGCCTCTGCCTCCCAAGTTCTGGGATTAAAGGCGTGTGCCACCACGCCCAGCCCACATATTGTATTTTAATTATTGAGATTCCATTACTATTTGGGAGACTGTGTAGCTTCGTGCATGGTTCAAAACTAAAATACCTAGAGACCAAACAGGTTGTGTGAACTGCCATAGACCTCCAGGGGCCGATAAAGGAGATGATGGAAAATTGCAAATACATCCTCTAAAAAATGGGGCTGCTTCTGCTAGACTTTGTGTGAAAAATCTGCAAATTAAGGGGGAGGGGCTCACAAGGCTCCACCCCTCTCTGAGGGATCTGGAGGCTTAGTGGTTACTGGGGGGAAGGAGAGATGTTTTCACCAGTGGTGTAGCCACTGGTAAGATGCCCATGCTCTTGCAATTAACCCTAACTCACTGGTTCACAGGTACACACAGTTTCCAAATTTTAAATATTAAGAACTGAACTAGTTTTGTATTGTGGAACATTTACCTAGTGTGCTTAGGGTCCTGGGTTTTATATGTAGCGCTGAAAAGAAAAAGAGATAAATTTAGTATTTTTTCCAGGATCTCTTGTAGCCCAGGATGGTCTCAAACTCCCTATTTAGTCAAGGATGGCCCTCAATGCTGGATTCTCTTGCTCCACCTCCCTAGTGCTGGGATCTTATCATGCCTGGTTTGTGGTGTTGGAGACTGAACCTGGGGCCCCCTGCATACTAGGGAAGTACACTACCAAATGAGCCCCACTTCTAGCCCTGTGAGACAAAGAAATCATCTTACATCTCTAGAGGTGAGAAATCTAAAATCCAGGTGTCCACAGGGCTGGTTCTTTCTCTCAAGGAGATTCCCTTTCTTGCCTTTCCCAGCTTCTACAAATTACCTGCTTTTTTTTGCTTATGGCCCCCTCCTCCACACCCAAATCATGATGGTGAGTTGAGTCCATCACATTCTGAAATTAAAAAAAAAAATTTTTATTTTTATGTGTATGAGTGTATTGCCTGCATGTGAGTGCACCCGTGTTGTACAATGCCGCAGAGGTCAGAAGAGGGAGTTGGATTCCCCTGGAACTGGAGTTAAGGATGGTTCATAGCCGTCATGTGGGTGCTGGGAATTGAACCCGGGTCCTCTGTAAGAGCAGTCAGTGCTCTTAACCGCTGAGCCATCTCTCCAGCCCCTGAAATTGACTTCTTCAGAGGCAAGACTGCCACAGGTTCAAGGCCAGCCTGGGCTTTGTGAGACTGTCTCAAACACTGCACACCCTCACAAAGATCTCAATGCTGTCGGGCTGATAGGAGCAGGAAGACACTGTGTATGAGACACTTAGCAGTGTTTACCACATCCAAGTGTTCAGTGATTATGAAACATTTAGCACAGTGTTTACACATACAAGTGCTCAGTGAACAGCTATTATTTTTGGATACTTGACTGTTAGTTCTTTTGACTACAGAAGTCTTTGGCTTTGCACTGACTGCAGCATCTGTTCCCAAGATGCATTTTAGGTGCCCACCAAGTACATAATAGGTAAGACTGCCGAGCTCCCAGGCCTCTCATTTTCTTAAGCAAGAGTCTGACTCTGGGAGGTCCATGGGATGTAGTCCAGCCAGGCATACGAGTCCTTCCTGTTCAGACTCCAGACCCTTACTCCTGTCAGTCATGTGGGAGCTATGAAACCAGACAGTGTGGAAGGGTATCCCAGGAAGCTGAGGAGCCTCTGCAGGTCCCATGAGCCTAGGCACCAGGAGGGCAGAATGCCTCCTCACTGTGTGCCCAATCATGGAGGTGCTCAAGGGGAGCGAGCATTACTGCAGGAGGACAGAAGTGCCCGACACTTCCAAATCAGATTCAATCCAAAACAGTTTTTCATGTTAGGTGTCTTACAGCCTGTGGACATTATAAAATCACATTAAAAGTGCTCTTCAGTTCATTTTCTGACTGTATATGTTCTATTCTGTCTGTTTAATTTTAATCAAAAGTAACTGATACATCAGCTTTTCCAATACCTTTATTCACAAATCAGTATAAATGGGATGCTCAGTTCAGTGTTATATGTATGATAAAAGGGGCTGTGAAAAGCATATTTACTACAACGAAACTACTTTATAAGTGAACCATCAGCTTCTCGACCTGTAGTAGCTCAAGGCAGCCAGCCCTCTCCTCTGAAGGGGCTGATTTTAGTTTTATTTTTCCCGAAGTTTTGGGTTGGGCATGGTTTCTTGGTGCTCCTTTCTGTGATCTGAGGCTTAACAGAAAGTCCACAGAAACCAGTGGTGGGAACTGGACTTCTTGAGCCTGGGGTGAGGCAGGAGTGGGATAAAAAACATGAGTTGTGATGCCATGAGGTCCAACCACTGTGCCATGCCCTTGAACGCTCACAATGTTCTGGTACTCCAGCTCAATCTGGAGCCTTGTAGACACATCACCCTGTTCACACCTCAAATGTCCACAAATGCTGTAGCGGAAAAAGGAGATGAAGCACACAGGGAGAAGGAAAGACTCAGTCTCAACAGCTACATTAAAAATTCTCATCTCCAATGCCAAGGATTCATTCCTAAACGACAGGCTTATAAGCAGAAGCATCCAGTGAGCCCATAACCAAACGCATTTACAATGTTGGCAAAGCCACATGCGCCTCATTTATCTCTAATTTTGAAATAGTTCATTTTCTTGCTGGGTATGCAGGTGAGCAGTGGAGAGAGAGGTGCGTCTGCTACTCCTGAAATAAAAATGGAAAGAATCATCACAGGGCCAATGATCTGGGCAGTCAACAATTGCCAGGGCAGTCAACAATCGCCAGGGTACCCCTACTAAAGTGCAGAAGCCAAACAGCATGATGAGACAGCAAAATGGAGAGCTGGGAAAGCGCAGAGCAATTCATTAGTCATCTACAGAGCACAGAATGCAGCTCCTTGTTAATATTTGTCTGGCTTGTAAAATAAGCTGACCATTCACCTGCTGGTGCTAAGGACTTCAATGCTTCCAGAAGATGTGGGCTGGAAAACTTCACAAGACACCGGAGGGGCTCTTCCCGGTCTGCCAAGATGCTCCCATTTAAGTCACTTTTGAACTTTGTTTCCAGCTGCCAACAACAGAATTTATAAATGATGGTCATGTAGCAGCTGGGCTGGTTAAAGATGATGGACAGATTATACAGATTTACACCCCATCAAGAAATAGAAGGAAATTGGGGGAGGGGGCAACAGGGGAGGTATGGCTAGGGGAGGGGATCTGAGTACCATCAAGTTATACTGTATGAAAATCACAGAAATTCAATTTTAAAAAAAGAAGCAGCAGCAGAAATACAGGGATTAATGCAGCCAGAGACCATTTAACTTGCTAACTGCAAACACACAAGGCCTCTGGTACAGTAAAGGCACCCAACCCAAAGTGCCAAGAGAGGCTGCAGGCACAGGCTGCCCCTGATGGAAATTAATGCTATCTTTTGTATGTCACTTCAACGTAAGAATGGTTACTCTCTCTCAAGCCACTATTACAGTTTCTTTTAAATTTCTTACTAGAGAAGATTAAAACCTGGAAGTCAACACAGAAGCACATGCCCCCCTACCCCCCCCAAAAAAGAGAGACTGAGCACTTGGGAGGCACAGGCAGAAAGATCGCGCCAAGCTTAGGAACACAAAGCTCTTGGGAGGCTTAGCCAAGGAGGACTGCAAGTCTGAGGCTAGCCTAAGCTGCACAGTCACTATCTCAATAGCCACCCTCCAAAGAACCCTTCCCACCACAGCCAGATTATACAGAAGGGGCACACCATGGTTCCCACATGCCTGTCACCCAGCTGAGCCAAGGGGTCTGGTTTCATCTGTTACCCACCTCCCCTTCCCAGCTCCCCATACCCCACTGGACTATTTTGGTGCAAATCTAAAACAGTATTTTATCTGTAAATATTTCAGTATGTAACAAAAAGAAACTTGAATGGCCTCTAAAAAAAATCTGAACCTTGAGTATACCTAATTTTCTTATTTTAGACAGGGTCTCACTACGTAAACCAGGCTGGCCTTGAAGTTGTGGCTCTCTAAACTCAGCCTCCTCAGTGTTGATATTATAGGCGTGTGCCACTGTGCCAAGCTAACATTAGGTTTGATATGCTTGTTTTTATATTCTGAGGTGCCGGGGGTTGGACTCAGGGTGCATGCCAGGTAAGTGCTCTGTCTCTGAGCTATAGCCCCAGCCCTAAAACATGTGCTTAACCAATCAGTGTTATCAAATACCCAAGAACTGCAGTTTGTGATGCTTAGACGCTCAGTTTCCTTTTGAAAGTGTCCCGTTATGTAGCCTTTAGCCTAGAACTCCCTTTGCAAACCAGCTGGCCTTGAACTTGGAGCGATCTTTCTGCCTGTGCCTCCCAA